ATGCCCTTATGTGGAAGAAAGAAGACCCAATCGCCCCTGCGTACTTGGTAGCATTGTATTAAGAGACTTTAGAAACTCCCAATACTCCGGGTAAGCTCCGCCTAGCTCCCAGTCAACAAGCCCGGTCACTCGAACGGATTGATCTCGCTCCTTGCTAACTATTATATTCCGTGGATGCAAGTCACCATGTGTCATGACAATTCGGTGATCATTGCGTAGCATAGAGTGCACAAACTCAACATAGGCTCTCATTGTAGGTGGGTGGTTACCTGAGATGAGGAATTCGTTGAACTGAGCTTCGTTCTCAATCTGTTGTGGACTTACCCGCTTCCACATTCTGCAGTCAATGCAGTAAGGTGGATTACCACTACCAAGGCAATGAGAAGATAGAGGGAGCATCCTAAGTTTCTCTAGGATAACATCTAACTGATCTCGGATAGAAATTTTTTCTTCCGTAGAGAGGCTGGACCAGAGCTTATCCAAAGATGAGCCTTCAATAAAAGTCATGAACATGTAGGTTGTCTTGCCGATAGAAATTGCTCCTAGGGGCCGAGGAACTGGAATATCCTTCGAGAGACTCTGAATATAGGCTGTAATATCGGCGTCGGTTAGAAGCAAATTATGCCCAAGCTTGACAACAATCCGTTCATCAAGTTGTATGACAGCCCGTGAAAAATGGCCCCAAAGCACCTTTCCATTTTGCAAAGCGCGCGAGAGAGCCAAACGAACTGCGAGTTGATCGTCATGGTTGCTGCTGGATAAGCAATCCTGCTCACAACCATATTTCCGCAAAAGCGTATTGACTTCAGGCGCAAGGGGCCGAAGAATGACCGGAATATCTGCTGGGATTACGAAAGCATCTTGAATTTGGCGTGTATTTGGAGTGTTGCTGCCACGACCTATACAGCAAGATTAGCATTGTTCCCTCCTACGTATGAAATACCTAAATCCTTACGTACAGCTTTGGCTCTTCCTACCACATACCTCCTCCAGTTTGCGACGGTCTGATGGGTACTTCCGACCCCATCTTATAAAGAATTTACTGAGATCGGCTGATCGATTCCAGTTTAACTTGGTACGTAGTTCAGTCGTTGCCGACTCATTCAGTGCAATGAAGCCTGAAAGAGCATCTCCATCATCGTCGCACCCCCCTTTTCGTGCAGCATCATCCAGCTCGGTAGAACAGAGGGGCGTAACGGATGACGTTGGAGGAGATTGATTCCTTCCGAAAAAGTAAATAACGGGTAAAGTGAGGACGAGTGCGGTGCTGGCGCCGAGAAAAAAGCTCAGGTAAGTGTCCGGTCTAATGAAATTGCTAGACATTGCTTCAGAAGCTCCTATTTGGCTGGTGGTGCGGTTTAGAAGGACATGTTTCTCGTGCGACTGACAGCTTCAAGTAATATCCACACTTCGTCCTTCTTCCAGAGATCCTTGCCAAGCCTGTATGGCGGCTTCCGTCACCTGACTCATAAATTCCTGATCCGCAGTTACAAGGAATATTTCTCCGCGATGTTTCTACCAGCAGCAGGGCTATACGATTCGAGACGAGCTACCTCAAGACTTTCATGTCCATTTCAGTATTCGATACAGTCTATCTAAAGTAGCCTGTTGAAGCCAAGCAAGTCAATTTAGATAGATAGGGGTTACTCAATAGAGTTTAATATCACGTGGACAAGCTAACGAGATATCACCCCTGTATTTTATCTCAGTAAACTCAGCCACTCCACTCCGAGCTAACCCAATCCGAACTACTGCTACTTTCTGCCAAGTCCTGCTAACATCTGAGCCAATCAACTGTCACGGGGCTTACACTAAACCTAAATGGGACATCCCCAGCAAACTCTTCGCGGAGCGTCTGAGAAAAAACGGTTCCTGTTTGTTAGCAACACGGGAACGATTTGCTCCAACCATAATGTTTGAGATAGAATCACTGTGCAACATCACTCATAGATCATTTCTCTACCACCTTGGAGGGTTAATTTTTCAATTTCCTGTCGATTGATGTAATTTTTATCTGAAAATACATATATTCTGAGTATGAAGTGTCGCGTCGAAAACTGCTACTATGATTTTGAACACGGGAACGATTTGCTAATTTTTCAACCATGATCATGTCTAGTCATCCAACGCCTTGATCTTGCCATCAAAACATCTATCCAGCCATCAGAGACTCTAGTCAAAGCACCGAGTGTATTTTCCAGCGACTTCCGGCAACTTCTGGCAACTTCTGACAACTTCTGAACTCTTGGCAACCTCACGCGGCACATCAACTTCTGACAACATCTCTGAACTCCTGACAACTTCTGGGATCTTCCGACAACTTCTGAACCAATCA